ATTTTATTTACTAAACAACCTTTTTAAATTCAGCTAAGCAGCTGTAACTTGTATTATAGCATGAACATGGGGTGTAAATGCAGCGCCAAGGTCAACATATAAAACGAATTCAGCAAACAAGAACAGAAATTAGAAGAAGTCTATGGTTTTGAATTTTTTATCATGTATGCAATGAGAACAAAATGGAGAGAGTATATATCACGTACAAGATTGGAAAATGTAACTTAATTATAAGAATAATAAAAAAAGTAAAAATATATTGAAAAGAAGTAGATTTTGAGATACTAGATGAAATCATCGGACATAAGAAGATCATTCTTAGAGAGATATAATGTTAATTCATGCTAACAAACTCGATATCAACATCATCATGAACAACTCAATCTTGTAAAATTGATAGGAAATTTTAATATGTCAACTTGAGAGTTGATGACAAAGTTGGCTGGATAATATCTCATATCAACCCCCTCATACATTGATGATGATGTTGATGACCACTATGATGATGATGCTACTATGAGCGAAGCTCTTACTTTTTACAGTTTTTGTTTATTCATATAATATGGACACTTCTGAATGCAAATGTATGGTGTACTGTGATGAATAAACAAGGCAAAGTTATGGGATATAAGAATCATGGCATGATGTTTGTATGCTACTTGGTGATGTTATGTAGGTGATGGTTTACATCTCAAAATTTAATTAGTTCTTTTTTTTCTGATATTTTAAGGGGAGGTTCATTAAAACTTAACCTTGGTTTGAGATCATCTAATATAGATTTGCTATCAATAAAATGAGGATATTATTGATGAGCTCGCTTTTGATAATCACAACCAAATAGTTAGAAAGTGTAATGATTTTATGATCTTCATGCAGGTATAAAATTTTGGTGCACCATTCTAGAAAATCAAAGCATGAAGATCAGAACTCGTGCACATAAAATTTTTGTTCTCATATGTACAAGATGTTTGATTGATATTTTGATTATTCTAGCTCAAGAAAGAATGGATAATCCCTTAAAAGTTATTTTAAGTAATATGCAATCTATAGTTTTATATCTGTAAGTATTTTTCTTTTAAATCTAATTTAAAATATCACATACATCCTATATTGTAACCATTATAAGTTAGCTGAATTAAAAACTCTTAAAATCTATTGAAAACCCTTAACGGGCCCTCATAAAGCACTTAGTAGGTCCCAATTAAACCTATTGAATGATTTGCTGTGGCTAAGATTAACGAAACCCCATAGAGTGTATAGATCTCCGTCAAGCCTGTTAACTTACCATAGCAAAGGTTAACAAAACTCAAGAAAGTTTACAGATGTCCGTTAAGCCCCAGGTAACTTATGGATTCTATAAAGACAAAATTACGCCATACAAGAGTTGTGTAAGAAATGTATTTTATTTTTATCTTTCCGTTGTAATCTCTGGATTGTTACCAAACCTTGACTTGGAGACTTACAGAGGTCCTCTTACCTATAAGTCTATAACTAAGAAGTAGGTACTTCTCCCTTAAAGAAAAATTATTACTTGCGGGTCCGGATTCGTCCGAAGACCAATAAAAATGCGCCATGTCGCCTCTAAAAATGTATCACGCTCGGTACCAAACACGGAACCGGATGGTTCTCCTGTCCGGTTTCCGCACACAATAATCCCCCCCCCCCCCCCCCCCAAAAAAATGTGTGGGGTCCCCCCCCCCCCCCTCCTAAAAGATGTTGTGACGGGGTCACTTTTCAACATAAGAGATGGATGACTTCTTATAATAGAAGTAGTGAAGCAAGGACCAAATACTAGATGTATAAAAAATATTAAAATTTCCACGCAAGAAATATATATTGATGTCATCATTGGAGAAAATCTCATTTGAAGGAAAAGATCAAATCACATGACCATAAATTAGTATGTATCTAAATCAAAAAGCAATTATGATACAAATAAATAGTTAGTCAACATCACGGGACAAGTGATTTAAATCACTTACCTAGATTTTTGTTTTAAAATTTGAACATTTCTCACAAGTCTCCCCACTGAAGCTAGTCCATGTGGGTGAGCTCTATAAGTTAGATTTTTCATATATAAAATGAGAAAAGAAGGGAAAACTATTGCACTATGAAGAACGAAACCAGGCTTCTCTTTTGATAAAAACTGGAATTCAACAAACCCTGACATGTTCTAAATGCAAAGAAATCAGGATACTAACATAAAACTTATTGACGTTCGGGATGTCATTCAACCAAAAACTTTATGCTACCTTTCAGAAACGTTAGACCTAGGCTTCGTTTGGGATGACTTTTCTTACTGCTTCTTAAAGTAGCTTTCAAGTACAAAAATTTTATTTTTTGTTTTAAAAAGTTGCTTTAAGAAACAGTAATAAAGCCGTTCCAAACGAAGCCTTAGGCTTCATTTGGGACTGATTTTTTATTGCTTCTTAAAACAACTTTTTAGTTTAAAAGTTAAATTTTATACTAAAAGCTGCTTTAAGAAGCAGTAAGAAAGCCGTCTCAAATGAAGCCTTAGTAGTGACGGTGAGAAAAAAGTAAAATTTGTGACAATGACATAATGACCGTAAACTTATGTTTGACTTTGAACATCTAAGATCACTTTTTAATTTTCATAATTACAGACTAAAGTTCAAAGATGATAAACAAGTATAAAGACAAAATTCTACACTACCAATAATTAGATGGCAGGTCTGATAACAGGAACATGAATTGGTGTAAAAGTAGCTGCAAGTAGACCACTCATCTTCTGCAATTTCTTTTATGAAAGGTGTCATCGAGCAGAACTAAAATCAACCAAATACAATAGCCATCGTACTACGATAATGCCTCTTAAACATAATGGATTTTACCTCTAATGCTACTGATGTTTTTTTTCCTCTTATAATAATTTTCATTCACAGTTGTCTATTGCTTTTCTAAGTGCTTGTTTGAGATCATTTTTTTTTTCAAAACAAATTTGCTTAGTGTGTTTTTTCATTGTTTTTTAAATATTCAAAACAACTTTAAAGTATTTTGAGTGTTTTTTTTAAACAACTATTGCTGCCAATTGGCTGTTGACACCTACGGTGACCATCACCTCCACCATTGCCTCACCGGCAGCTACCATTGCCCCACGGACAATTGCCACTACCACGGTATAAATCAGTTTATGCAATATTCAATAAAAATTTATTTTTTAAGATATCAACCATTTTTTTATGTTGAAATATAAACAAAACAATAAAAATAAAATATAAAAAAAAAAAAAAAAAAAAAAAAAGATTCCAGAAGGATAAGAAATCTTCTTGCTACATTAATGCATCCGACGGGATAAGAAATCTTCTTACTACAGTAATGGCGTGTTGGAGCCCTTATTCTAACATAATCCATATGCCAGACGGTTAGATGCTCATCACTTTAACAAGATCTTGTCGAGAGATTTGGTGCATGGGTCAATGATCTCCTATTAGTTGTCGGACCACTTATTAGCAAAGATGGTTGTTGGTCATTGTTACCACAGTTATGTGATGAGCTGCAAGGTAAGCCTTGAGATGCCTGTGGTTCACCATTCACACCCATTGAAGGGGCGATCAACCCATGATAACTTAGATTCAATTGTCAAATTATTAAATTTAACATATAATAAATATCTTTCTTTTCTATTTACATTAAAATATGAGCTAAAAAGCTATTTGATTTTTAATATTTTAAAGTTAATTCTTGCTTTGGATGACTACCATGGCATAAACTAGAATGCAGGTTCATCTTGTGTCTGTCCATCAATATCAGACTGACTTACCCCATTAAGTATTAGATGGAATGATGCAACGGGTTCAATTGCCATATATGCTTGGATGGCCTTCTCATTCATGGTGGCCTAGTAGCCCTTAGTGGCCACTAAACAAGGTAGTGATAGTCTTCTGTAGCATTCCAACCTACTATATTATAATATAATCTAAATAATACAGATTTAAACAGTTTTGTTTGATAAAATATAATTCTAAATAATTTTGGATATGATTATACCGTAGACTTCTTCAGGATGTAGTACTACTTACATGCAGAAGAATGTCATATGTTAGGTTACATGTTTGAAAATATGCAGACAAATTCTTAAGTCAGGTGCAAATCAATAACAAAGCTAAGGACTTCATTGTAGCCATGTAGTTAGCTGCATCAAGGTTCTACAAATCGAAATTATGAGCTTCCAATTTTAGGATGGCAGACTATGGTGGAAGGGAAGCAAATTGCAACTAAAATTAACAACATGCCCATGTTTAATTAGAAAAAACAACAAATGCCAGTATCTTACTTAGAATAAGACCCCCGCCAGTGTGGTTTGCTTGCTCCTGTAGGTCAAAGATAATCCTACAAAAGAAATCTCAAATACATGCAATAGCAACATCAAGCCTTTGTCCCACTACATGGGGAAAGTGAAGGCCGGTTAAAAAAGGGGTGCAACACGAGGACTTCCCAGGAGGTCACCCATCCTAGTACTACTCTTGCCCAAGCAAGCTTAACTGCGTAATTCTGATGGGATCCGGTGCATTGGTGCTAGTATGGTCGTACCCAAGATAAATCCTACAAAAGTTCTAACCCAAAGAGTTCTGATGCCTGTGGTTAAATACATGCCTTTTACATTAATAAAAAAAGAGATTAATCAAAACTTAACCAGAATAAATCCAAAAAAAACTTCTCATACATATGCCTTTTACACAATCATTCAGAACAACTGGTAATTTAGGATGTTACATGCAATATAATGGTCTATTACTTGTTTCTAGAAAAACAACCAGTAATTGACCAATCAATCAGAAATGAAAAGCTAAAACAAGTAGAACTGAAACCTTCTTAGAAAAACCAAAACAAAAGAAAATTAACATAAATAAATTTGTTCCAGAATTGAATGTTAAAGCCCTAACTGTTCAAAAAAATTCCCCACTTCACCTACATGACAAGAAGCTCTACCCATGTATAACAAAACAATCTTCTACAATCATATCACACAATAGGCAGAATTCCCACAAATAATCATCAAGGAGTTGAATTGGATAACTCGAAATGTTTATTACACCAAAAAAAAAAAAAAATCTATGAAGATCGAACTATTTGTTACAAGAACCAAAGCGTTAACAAACGTATGGAATCAACAAAACAGAAACAATAACAAATATAACAACAAACGAAGCATCAATCAACATGTACCCAATATCACAAGATGCTCAATTCTCTTCCTGCAAATTCTAGTTGCCCACCACCGTACCCAAATTGAGCCTGAAATTAAGCTTTCCCAGAATTAATCCAACCGAGCTTCCACCAGAAAACAAAATATATGTCACTTTATATCCATACTTTCCACATTGGGGCAGAATACGATCTCTCATTTTGAGACCACACCATCCATATCGTAAAAATCAAGAAGACACTCTCATTCTATAGTTTCTCCCCATCTTCTTCAGCTGCCACCTTTTATAAATAAGGAAAGCTGCAAAAGTTAATTGGAGGACGGCTGCGATGGCAGCGAACGCAAAGCCGAGCCTTTTACCGAGATTTAGCTTACCCGGCGGCGGCGGCGGCGGCGGCGGCGGAGGGGGCCGGTGACGGTGGCGGGACATCGGCTTCGGGGAGTGTTTTTTATGGGAGCGGGGAAAAGGCGGAGAATGCACTACTAGGCCAGCTGGCTCAGACATTCTGTAGTTCAGGGGAGGGTGGGAGGGGGACGATGCGGGGATAGGGGAGTGAATGGGGGAGGAGAGGGAGTGGGAGAGAAGGGACAGAGCGAGAAAACCTAGGGCTAGGGTTGTAGAACGGTGATCCATGGTGAAGCTGCTGTTAGGGCACCGGTCACCGACCGGCCGCTCCGACCAGTTTACGGCGGGAACGCCACCGCATCTAAAGAAAGAAATACCGGTAAAAATGCTGAGAAGAATTCGTGCGTCTGCTTTCAAGAATCGAGGGAAGAGAGAGAGAGAGAGAGAGAGAGAAAGAGCGCGGGGGGCAACGACGCGGATTTAGGTGGGGCCGTGCGAAGAGATAGCGAACGCAAGGGTGGCAATGAAGATGATCTGCTGCGTCGCGCCAAACAGGAAACACGGAATGCTTTGAATTTTGCATGGGAGATGGGACAAGTTGGGTCAACGTAATATTTGATTATGATAAAATTTAAATTTTATTTTCAGATTACCTTAATAAAAAATAAATTAAATATTCATATGATATGCATCTTAAAATAATTTCTAATAATTTTAAAATGTATCATAATTGACTGATCACAATATTTTTTCTTAATTTTTTTTCTAAAATTAACTTTCATGAAAATTATATAAACCTTAAAAAAAAAAAGTAACTGTAAAGCTCAAATAAAATTGAATCTAATATATTTTTCCTTAGGAAGCTCCCTTCTTTAAAATATTCCAATACGTTTATTTTATTTTAAAAATTATATTTTTATAATTAACTTTTTTGTGCTTTTTATTTATAATATTTAGTAAAAATAAAACAATCATCACCTACACTAATGGACAATACACATCTTATTGTATCTACTAATGATAGGTTGGTTGATTTTACTTGATAAAATTATTAGTCATATTAAGTAAATCATATTTAATTATAAGTTTGCTCAATAATCTTCAGCTGAGCAATAAAAATAATTTTTTTATTGACTATTTGGGATGGTTTTCTTATTGCTTCTAATTAAAGCATCTTTCTATTACAAAAATTTTAATTTTTATACTAAAAATTTACTTTAAGAAGCAATAAAATAGTCGTCCTAATGAAGCCTTAAAATGGATTTTTTACTCTTATTTACAAAATTCTGTGATTATTAATAACTGTGGTTGAGAGTGAATCGTATCATGATCGAATTTTATTGAAAAAATGGTGCTAAAGGATTGCCCGGGTCAATTTACTCGAATCTAGGCTAACATGAGTAGGTGTGTAAGTCAAGCCAACTTGAACTCGACTCAATAAATGGCTCATAAGCCCAACTTGATGAGCTAATGATCTATAACTCCACTTTTTAGCTTATATATCATATCATTAAAAAATATATTAATTTAAAATGCATTTAAAATATATTAACATTCAAAATTTCCAACACAAAATTATTAAAAATATGTAAAATTTATATATCACTTTCTTATATTAAGTTACTTTTTATTATTTTTATTTCATATTCTTTTTACTATTTTATTATACTAATTGTTTAAATCATAATCATTTTCTACCTTTAATGGTAAATGACTAGACTAGAACTCGTAAAATAAAACTCGGGCTTAAACTCAATTAATTAATCAAGCTTAAGCCATAGATGACTCAAACTCGGCTTGACTTGTTTACATCCCTAGAAATTGAGTGACGATGGTGCCCTAATAGTGGTGCTTGCATCCCCCCTTCACATACAAACAAATCATAAAAAAAATACTCATCCATGTATATAAGTTTGACTTAGGCTTCGTTTGGGACGGCTTTATTGCTGCTTCTTGAAGCAGTTTTTTAGTTCAATAATTAAAAATTTTGTACTAGAAAGCTGCTTTAAAAAGCAATAAGAAATTCGTCCCAAACGAAGCCTTAGTCTTCATTTGGGACAGCTTTTTTACTACTTTCTTAAAGCAACTTTTTAGTACAACAAATAAAATTTTTATATTAAAAATATGCTTTAAGAAAGAGTAAGAAAGCTGTTTGGAGCTTAGTTCGGCAACAAAGCACTTAGAACACATTAAACGCTTCTTTCTTTTTTCCTAATTGTCAACACAAGTTCACAACCAATGCATTCAGACAACCATGGAATCAGAGAAAGGCTGGGAGTGCAAAAGACTTGTATAACTATTAACTACACATGATATGGAAATTTAATAATTCTACCACTGTTAAATTAAGACATGTTGCTTGGCAATTATCATCCAACTACAAAGTCAAAAAATATCATAAATCTAACTTAGGTTTTATTTGGGATAACTTCCTTACAGTTTCTTAAAACAGTTTTTTAGTACAAAATTTATTTTTTTTTTACCAAAAAACTGCTTTAAAAAGCAGTAAGAAAGCCATCCCAAACAAAACCTTAATTACAACATTTGACTAAACATCAGGATGATAGCTCAAGAAATCATAACATGGATCACTGAGCAGGTATTATTACAGAGGCTTTATGTGATTCAGGTTCCAGTTGGCACCTTCAAGCAAGGCTCTTGTGGAATCTCTTCTCCTGGATAAGCTAAGTGCTTTTGGATCTGATTTAAGCTTCGTTTGGGACGGCTTTTTTACTGCTTCTTAAAACGGCTTTCTAATACAAAATTTTTAATTTTTATACTAAAAAATTGCTTTAAGAAGCAGGAAGAAAACCATCCCAAACAAAACCTTAGCCATCAAATCCAGAAAAGTTTAAACCAGAACTGTAACTCCTTCAGGCAATTAATTGCTTTTTTCAGACTTTTCAAAACCTGGTACTGTCAGAAAAGCTTCAACTTGCATGAGTGAGAATAGTCTCCACCCTGTCTATAGATGCCCTCAAACGCCCAAAGTCCATATCTAACATGGGTTCTCCTGTGCCAACAGCCCTACAAATCAAATTTTTAAAATCTATCAAGCAGGTGAAAGTAGGTATCAAAATACCAAACAAAGGATGGGGCTTAGGCCACCTTTGTGGAGCTACCTATGCTGCTTGTGGCGCAATATTGTCGGTATGTATGTCATGTTAGAGTTATAAATGAACCGAATTGAGCAAAGAAAAACCTTTGTAAAATTTGTCATGTTGGAGTTCTGAGAGAGGGTAATGATAGACTTGGAAATTTTGTACTAGTTTTAAAAAATCAATTTGGTTTCATGCCATGAAGACCTAAAAAGTTGCTTTAAGAAGCAGTAAGAAAACAGTCCCAAATGAAACCTTAATCTTTGGTTTTAAATTGTTTTTGCAGATTGACATTGATATGATTAAAGCTTGGTATTGTGTGATAGCTTTTGATAGAATTGATTTTTGCTATTCTATGTTACATATGGTTGATCATTTTGTATATATTAAGAATTTTCTATCATTTGTTTTTGTATGAACACTCTTCTTTTGCATTTGGATTCGATGCTATCTTAATTTATATCACTAGTTGATATATTTATGTTTATACATATATAAATCGATCAAATGCTCGTTTTTCCCAATCAAGTCCCTAGAAATTAAATTGATAAATGAATCATAGTTTTTTTTTCCTTCATTCAATAGTTTTTTTTTTTTTTTTCAAGATAATGTTGAATTTTATCCACCAAATTCAAGACTAAGCATTTAGAAGTGTTTACAACATTGACTAACCCAAACTAATTTCAATCGCCATAGCTAATACATAATCATTGGAACCAGCAACATACGTAGCATCTAAATAACTGTTAACAATATTAATCAAAGAGATCACAAATATGAGAAATATTAGTGATGCATGATTTCTTTGGTTATTTAGCGACTACTTCTATCATGACCCTTATAGAAAAGATGTAATCAAAGAGAGTAACCAGAGAGATCAATATATAGCATCCAAATAAATTTTTTTATTAGTGGGAAAAAATGGTCACTATTCTAAGGACCCTAAAGTTTTTTATCACTATTCATTTTATTAACCAAGTTTTTAATTTTAGACACCAAATTTGATGGTCGGTAATAGCCTATAAAACCCTAATTCCTACTAATGCAAACAAATGACTAAAGAAAGTTAGTAGCTAACCCCTGAATTTGTGGAAAGATGTACTCAGCCCTCCAACCAATTCTTACATCAAATCCTGGGAACAAGCTGACGGACGTTTTGTTTCGGATCTGAGAAATGCCATCTCCACCCAAAGAAGTTGAGAGCTTCCATTTCCAACCCGTTGCATTGGTGTGGAAGTTGTGGCCTACTCCTACCTGCATTGCCATGTAGAATAATTATCATCCATATCATGTTTAATGATATTTTTCTGTTTGATAAAATATAAAATGCCTAAAAGGGACCATAATTTCTTCCATTATGTAAGGTATGATGTACCTAACATAAATATACAGTGAAATTTTGTTCAAATAGCATGATGTGAGAAAAGCAGTAACTTTCATCATAGGTATTTCTTCACATAGGTTAAATTTAATACGTCTATTCTCCTAATCAAGTCATAGGAAGGCTGCCATTTTATGCGACCAAACCATCTAAGACGACTCTCCGTAATCTTATATGCCACTGGAGCTACTCCAACCTTTTCACGTAATGCTCATTTTGAATCATGTTTCTAAGAGTTAAGCCACTCCACCTGAGCATCCTCATCTCTGAAACAATTAACTTAATATTATGCTTCTATTTTAATTGCCAACATTTTGTGTCATAAATTATTGCAAGTCTAACCACCATCTTATAGAATTTTCCCTAAAGTTTGAGTGGTACTTTCTATCACACAACAAGCCCGATGCATTGAGGTATTTTGTTGATAATCAACGAAAATTTGTTAATTGAATTATCACGCTTATTTAAACCATCAATAAATCTTCAAATTAATACCTTACGAATGATTATCATCTTGGAAACATGAAAAATAAAAATATTAGCAAATTATAGTTACTGCTGTGAGGAGGTGAAACCACAATGGCAATGTACGTTAAGTATTTAAATTTATGTCATAGAATCTGCCCCGCATTCATTAAAACTCTATCCATTCAACAAATAAGTTTACATTAAAATAATTTATGTTTATTAACTGGAAATTGCACTCATCTAACAGCAGTCATAAAATGGATACCAAAGAAGCAACTATTTCTATAAACGGTATCTTTAAAGCCATTTTTTTGTTTTCAAATAAACATAAACACTTTTGGTACGTAACATAAAGACAGAAGAACGACTATAAATGCAAGACACCCAATAAAAGTAATAACGTTGTTGGGAACCTAAAGGCAACCTTGAAGCCAGTCGAAATCTAAACATGGATTGCTCTTAGCTTGAAAAAATGACATGCACGCAAACAATCAACAAGGCAAAAAGTTTAATGGCCAAACCATAAATTTTGTTGTCCGGAAGACCCTTCTAACAATAAAGTTCAAGGCTAAGAGATGGCCCGGTTCTTAGAACTAGCACGAACAACAAAAAACAACAAGCCTTTATCCCACTACGTGGGATCAGCTACATGCATCAATTTTTCTCCATGATGTGCTATTAAGAGTCAAATTATTATTTAAATCTAATAAAAAATCTCATTTTTAATACTTTCTAACCAAATATTTTTAGTTATACCTCTATATTTCATAACATAAGCCGAATCTAATACATCTATTCTCCTAAAAGGGTCATCGAAATGCTGGCGTCTTATGTGACTAAACCATCTAAGGCGACTTTCTCTAATCTTATCTGTCACTGGAGCTCCTGCTACCATTTCATTATACACTCATTTCGTATTTTAACACAAATATAAAGCCACTCATCCACCTAAGCATCCCCATCTCTGCAACATTTAAACTTAATTTTATGCTTCTCTTTTAATGACCAACATTTTACGTCATAAAGCATTGCAGGTCTCACCACCATCTCATAAAAAATTGCAGGCCCAATGCATTCCTCCACTTTAACCATCCAACTTGAATCTACTAATAATATCCCCATCTATTTCACCATCGTTTGGAAAAATAGACTTGAGCTATCTAAAATGTATACTCTTTTTAAGGACTTGATCACTCGTGTCACAATCCCACCATTAGATTTATAACCACTAAATTACATCCATGTATTCAGTTTTAAATCTACATATCCACTCAAACAAAAACCTTTAGACTCTAAGGTTGACTTCCATAATTCAAAAGTTTCACCAACTCCCTCTCCAGTCTTATAAACAAGAAGAATATCATCAATAAAAAGCATACACCAAAGTGCATCATCTTGCAAATGTCCAGTAATAACATTCATGACTAAAGAATAAAAATATGGGCTTAATGCTGATCTTAATGTACTCCAACTAAAATAGGAAAATAACCAACTTATGTTTGAACACAATTAACAACTCATGTATACATAACCTTAATAACTTGAATATAAGCACAATGATGTCATTTCTTTTCTAAAACTGTCCAGAGCACTTCTTTTCGAACTTTATCATATGCTTTATCTAAATCAATAAATATCATATGTAGATCCTCCTCTCTATACTTCTCCACATCAAACTGATATGCCAGGGGGCCCCATTTTGTGGGGCCAGGAGTTAATATTCACTATGTAAGGAGGAGAAATTAGAGTAGAATTTATTAGAAAAGTTTATTTAGAGAAAGATGATTGATTGAATATAGATTGGGGAGAAAATTAGAAAATGTATATTTAAGAAAAGGGGGTGATTTGAATTCGAATTTGAGAGGGAATTATGAAGGTTTTATTTATGAAAAAATGGTTGATTTGAATTTAGATTTGAGAGGGAATTATGAAGGTTTTATAAAGGGAAATAGGGATTATTTGAATCTATATTTCGGAGGGAAATATGATTGTTTATTTAAGGATAATTAGGTTATTTTATTTTCATTATGTGATTTATGTTTGTTGTAGTTTTCTTAAGAGTTGTTCCTAACGGCGTCTAGGGTTTGTGGAAGAGCTAGTCTACCTCTCGAATAGTAGATCAATTGTTTCTTTCATTATTGTTCAAGTATTAATCATAATCAACCCCTATCTTCAAATTCCTGCAGTTTTCTACGTGTTACTTTCAGTTTTTACTTCCAAAACGCATCAAATTGATATCAGAATGAGGTTTTTCTGAGACAAAGGAAGCAAAGAAGGTGGATGCATTGGAAGGCGAAATGGAGCAATTCAAATCCAGGGTGGAGGAGAAATTTCAACCCTTGAAAGAAAATTTTCAACCACGGATAATCGGATGGAAAGCCGATTTGGGAGGTTGGAGGAGTTGATGAAGAAGCTCATTGAGATGCAATCCAAAACTCCACCCATGGTTCCGACTGCTAACCCTAACCACAATTTGATTGGGATTCCCTTCGCCGAATCTAAGAGAAAAGAGATCGGACGAGAAGAGTTCGAAGAGGAGAGTTTCTTCCATCAAGAGCGACCATCTAGAGCTTCGATGAGGGGCGGAATAGAGTTTCTGAATGGGGGGACAACAAGGAGGGATTTTTTTTTTTTTTTTTTTGGGGGGTTTTTTTTTTTTTTTAGGTGATTTGGTGGCCAACTACTATGGGAGGCATGTCCGACAAGGAGAATGGGCAACCAAAGATGAAGGGGGTCGAACTGAGCCATGGGGATCAAGTCAGGGAAAAAAGGTAGAAGAAAGGTAGCATTTCCACTCTCTATTTTAAAAATTCCCGCCCATGGCTGGCGAGCCGGCTCGAGCTCGTTAATAGTGACACGAGCTCGAGTTCGAGCTCAACTGTCGAGCTCGACTCGAGCTCGAGCTCGAGTTCGAGCTCGATAATGGCCAAAACTCGACTCGACTCGACTCGTTTACACCCCTATCCTAGGGTGAGGAAGTTGAAGATGTCGGTATTCGAATGAGAGGATGCCCATGGGTGGGTATACCGTGTGGAGAGATATTTCGCGGTGAATGGGTTGAGAGAGGAGGAGAAGCTTACGACTACATGACTATATTAGGAGGGGAAAGCCCTCGCTTGGTTCCAGTGGAGGGAGACTAAATATCTGATCCGCTCTTTGAAGGAGTTTAAAAATTGCTTATTAAAACATTTCAGAGCCATTCGGGAAGGTGACCTACACAAGCCAATTCATTGCCTTGACCAAAGAGGGGGCCATCATGGAGTACAAGAAAAGGTTTGAGTTGTTTTCAGGGCGGTTGAGAGGAATTTCGGAGGCGTTTTTGGAGGGTAATTTCATGAAAGACCTCAATCCCGACATACGAGCAAACCTCCAATTTCTAAGGCCGATGGGATTGAAGGAGGCCATGGAGCTAGCCCAGATAGTAAAGTATCGGAGGCAGATGGAGAGGAACAGCGTGAGCGAAGTCACTAGAGGCTCCCATAGGAACTCCTCAACTTCTTTGGCATTGAAGGATCTAATGGTGTCATTTCAACGAGAGGCACCAAGAGAGAAAGAGTGAGGGAGATCGCCCCGGAGCCAACTTCAAAAGCCTCACAGAGGTAGAGGTGCAGAACAAAAGAGTGAAGTGTTTGTGCTTCTGATGCGATGTGAAGTATGCATCCGACCATCAGTGCAAGGACCACACTCTCCAAATCCTTATGATTTGTGATAAGGTGAAGACCGACAACAAAGAGTTGGATGAGGAAGCAGAAGAGTAAGGGGAGCACCTACACCTTGATGTAGCGGAAGTATCCCTTAACTTAGTGGTGGGATTTACTACAAATTATAATTTAAATACAAAGTGATTTAGTAGGTTTCCTAAAATAGGATTTCATAAATTAGACAACTATTTTAAATTCAAATTGATTTGAATTTAATCATAAATAGAGTTACCAAAATTATGAGATCTCATTTAGGAAAGGTGTGGTGGCACGTAGGGAGGGGGAAGAAGCCAAGGGTGGTCGGCGGTGGGAGGGTTTGGCCGTAGAGGGGGGATGGGGTTGGGAGCCTAAGAGGCGGGTGGTGGAGGGGGCTAGATGGCCTGCGGTTTAGGGGTTCGGGAGAGCCCTTGGCCGGCGGCTATGGGATGAAGAAAGGATTACAACGAGATAAAGAAGAAGAACCTCGAACCCGGTCATCTCCAAGGTTGGTGGGTGCTCCAAATTCCCTCTTCTAGGGATCTCTCTCCACGCACTCTCAAGATATCTCAAGAACTCAAGCAATGGCAAAGTTTTTTTATCATTCAATCATTTATTAACCTTAGAAGAAAAATATAAGGGCTATAAATAACTTCGTACAAAAGGACTCAAAGATAAAAGACGACAGTGCCCTTAGGGCTTACATACGACCTCCTTTAAGTAAGAGG